ACGAAGTCGTGTGAACCTGTGACAGTACAGTATGACGGGTTCTTTGACTTGTTCAATAAATCCTCAATCCCCAACGATTTCCACTTTGTCTGACACAGTAATGTATGTCTTACAGTACACCTTCTCATGCATGCATTCACTTCTACTCCACCGATCGGAGGTGCATACGTTTTGCAAATTCTAATGAATTGTATCATACTGTGCCTTATTCTTTCATCTTTTGAACTTCATTAAATTGTATCATTGATTTCAGCTTGTTCCTTCTAGTTTGTATGGGCTCATCTCTGTTAATAGTGACATAACAACAACAAAACAACTGCTGATCTCGGAATTAGTAAGAGGCAACAGTAGTGAGCTGAACTTCTACAATGTACGATGAATTATAATATGTTAAATATATTCCTCTATTATTTCTAATCACCAACTATAGCTTCTGTGAATTCAGGTAAACGCTGTGGCTGTCTCGTCACATTTGGTAGCTTGAACGAACGTGGACAATGAAAATGACCGATTTGCCAACGAAGAAGGGGACAGATTTTCCAGTTGTTTCCCAAAAAGAGTTTACTGTATGTCATTCAGAAGCCTGACTTTGTAAGGCGTGATAATGCTCCCATAAACCTGGTTTCAGAAGTCGGGAAGGTCCATGATGGTTTTGAAGTGAAAATCCGAAAGAAAGTACGTCACTTGTATAAGTTTCCTCTCGGTGATCTCTCCAAGGCGATTTCCGTCGGAAAACCACACAGCTATTATAGCGTGATAATTTTAGTGTGCGCTTTTATAACCTATGTGAATAAAATGACGGGTAAAGAACATTCCTTCGAATTTAGACAAACATAGACTGGTTAGTGGCTTGGTACCTGCCCATTTATTTGGCCAGATTGAAGAAAAGAGGATTTCATGTTTCTTTGAAAATTGTTTCTAGCCTTTTGAAGAGCGATTCTTTTCGGTCGTAAACCTTTTTACAAACATTACCACGGGACAAATTTGCAGAAGCATTGAAATTGATACAAGTTACCTCAACTCACCATGTTAGTGGTAGCGAGAACGTCATATACAAATGTGTATAGAAGTGAATTATCTTCCAATTTATCTGCCGGTTTTAAATGCTATCGGTCAGGGAGTGTAATGATCAGTGAATGTAAGAGAAATACAATATGTATACATCAGATTGAACTAGAGGCAGGGAACATGGATGAGTAGAATAAATATTTTTATTGAACTGTGTATTTCATAACTGGATACCAGTTACGAACTTGTCGACTTCACGCGATCCAATGCGGCACTCGACATATGGATGTGATAATCATTTGCGTTTTGGCGTAAGACGCGAGCGACATTGGCTTAGTTCTTGGCCAACATTTCGGACTGTATCTAATTGTGTGGAAAACATTAGGTTGGTCAACTGGAAAAAAAGAACAGAACAAGAGCGTAACGGATAAGATATCAGTCGAACATATGAGTCAACCAATATCAGTCGTACTGTCGTTTGTCTTTTGTGCTTTGATGACTGTAGTTTCTGAAAAAATATGTTCTGAGAATAACAACTTTTATCGATGATTGCGTGCACAGTAGTAGATTATTTCATCAAGGCCTGGCAAACAACTTCACTTAGATTAATATTTGAGTACGAACATTCGTGAAGCATTTTATAAAAGTTTTAGAAATGACCTTGAAATATTTTAGTGATATGAGATGAACCAGGCTAAAGAAGTTTATATTATCCATTATTCTTCATATATTTGAAATTTTGGGGTCAGGTTACTTGTGGACAGCATCAATCTCGTCCTATAATGGTCATACGAATTTACTGTCACGTTCGTTTCCCCCAATTAAAGTATAATGTGTGCGCAGAATTATTTTGTATATTTAGCTGGGACACTTAATACCTTCACGAGTCTGGGTTCACTCAACATCCTGAAACTTGGATTTTCTCTTGAATCTTTACCCTGTTGAAATGCACTGTACAGATGGAACACGGCCTTTCAATGATGCCTAGTCTTTTACTCCGTCACCTGTTCGATTTTACTTTTTGTCCAGCCAACGGCAAGTAGAAGGGAGACCGACCACGTAAAATATCGTATCGATATAATTAACAACTGCGTTCTCGCTCTCATGATAACTACCAGTACCACAGTTTATGGTTTGGCATTAGGCTCACAGTACTAACAAAAAGACACTAGTTAGAGCAGAATGTTTTTTTTTGGATGTTCGGGTTTAGTGGCTTCATCTGTTGTGTTATACAGATTAGAAACATTCAGATAAGAAAATGTGTTAGTATCTATTTTGGCTTAATGGTGTAGATATACAAGTTCCTAAGGATGTCAGTTTATTCGTATGCTAATTTCTAGACTTGGTCGATTCAGTATGTCTGTGAGGGAATTCGCTGGGTGATCAGTTTGATCGTATTTTACGCTGCTCATTTTGGTATTAGGGATATCGCTGCAGATGCTGATGATCGTTGGTTGCATTATGAAACCTAATGTTAGAGTTTTCGACTTTGGGTCCTCATTTAAAACAGCAGTCGGGATTTTTGACACCAACTAGTGACCGTAATCAAATCCGATTGTTTATCTTGCTGGTTAAATGTGCGTGAAACCTCTGAGTAAAAGAGAGTCTGACCAAAATTCTGTCCAGATCGTTAACTGTTTTAATCACAACATAAAATGAAAAATTTTAACATGGCGAATAAGAGAAATGAAGTCGTTTTAAATCCCGTGGAAATGTGCAAGAATACTACGACTGTAACTTTTCCTGCGAGATTTATCCGGTTTGTTCCCGTTATATTCTTATTCATTTGAAATCACCGCTTGGCCGAGAATGGAACATAATAACCAGTGCATCTATCCCTGATTCATTTGAACAGTCACTCGTGAAAAACCCAGAAATTCTAATGAAGAAAGCACTATGCTTTGTATTGAATGACGAGAACACATTTGAAAGCTTACAGTCGAATAGAAAAAGAATATGACTGCTTGCAAATATGCCCTGGTGTGTAATATCTACACACTTGTAGACAGGATTTTATTTCTGTTCGCCGCTTTCCAATGTCCTTTTCATTCAAGTTATTTTACGCAGAATATATTTAGAGCGAGGTAAACCAAGCTGTTAAACTGAAAGTCTTGTTGGATGGTTTTTGTTTTAACTGGAACCAATCTTTAGGGTTGGGATCACTTAGTTGTTCGACAATTTTTGACAACCTGAATTACTATTGAGTTAAAATTCTCATTCACGGCATACGAAATTCTTCATATGGTTTTTGAAAGGCCTTCTAAGCTCTGTTTGTTGGTTGGGAGCTAAAAATATATGGATGGTTCCGGGATTCCTCTCACTGTCAGTCAAATATGAACCTGATTATGCGAGTTATATTTTGCACCGTACAGCTTTAACGTTCTATTGGGATTAAAAATAAACCGTTGGGGAAAGTCCAGACCACGATATCTGACTGGAGTGAATTATTCTTTGCCACCAATTGGTAATGGACAGTTTTTTGTATACCTGAGATATAAGAACCTTATTTTGATTTGGTACTGGCACAAGGTCTCAATGTAATGGTGAGATACATCAACTATTTTGGTGATATCGTCTCCTGAAATCACTTATTTTTCACGAGAGTAGCTAACACGCCTGTTCTAATGGAGCATCATACGTTTCTGCGACTAAAGTATCCAGTCCATGACTGATCAAGCATCAATAAGACGTAGCACTCAATAATATCAACTAGACATACTGAGTTCATCGGTTGACACGGGAAACGTCTTACTTATTATTTCCTTGGATACGTTTACACATTTTGGGAATGTTTGTTAAGATAAATATAGCACCCTTACTAGTTAGTAGTTGTATATAAAAGGTAACTAGAAGTTTTTCCTAGGATTTTCTATTTCTATTTTAAATTTCTTTCCTAAATATTATCAGTTCAGTAGGAACGTTTAGAACTAATCTAAACTTTCTTCTTCATGAAATGTCTGTTAGACTTGAGAGATCATGAATAAAATAACTTTTACACGACAACATCATAAATAACCGTGCACGACATAAACATGTATCTAAGACTCAGCATTTGAGGACCAACACTGTATCCACTTTATCTCATGTAGCTGAGTTGTGTACAAACATGTAACTTATGTGAAAAAGAATAATATGAGCTACCTCTACCTCCAAATACGCTGAAATGATCAGTTAAGTTATGACACCATCCAATCTACTGAACCTAGGCTGAAAGTGGAACATCGGAATTGGGGGTTGGCACTGATTTTTCACAAACGTGAATGGCGAGTAATTTCAACAGCAAACTAGATCTATAGATTGACCAATAAACGGAAGGAGAGAACGATTAGTGAGAAAAACATGAGCATGACATGACAACCGTTTTAAACCAATAAAACCATAAATGCTCAAATTCCGCATAGTATAAAGACAGGCGAGTTCGTCGTGGGGTTGAGAAACATGAGATTCTACATATTCTTGATATTGCTGCTGTACGCGCTGCAATCACACCAGGTGGGTAAGTGACATTTTGAATTTTATTGTGTACCTGACGAAAGGTAGTAACTGACAGAACAGAATGCAAATAAGTAAAATTAATACCGTGGCATAAAGAGTGTGGCGGATGAATTTCTACACGCAACATAGGAGAACAAAAATATAAAATTAACGAGAAATCGGAAATATTCAGGTTCCACATGAAGAAGTGTGAAAAAAAATCCAAGATAGATATACAAAAGAAAAAGTAGAACAAAGAGATGGGAAACAAACGCAAAAAAATATCGCGAAGAAAATATGGGGAAAATGGAGGAGAAACGAGAGTGAGCAACGGCAGATGAAATCAAAAAATTTTCATCAAAACATGATAAAACATATAAAATCTAAAAATCACGCGCAGAGACAGCATAAAGAAAGATGAAGTACAAAGAAATAATCGTAGTCTGGTTGTCCTCATCTATTTGGATACCTCCATCGATCACTGTACATTGTTCGTTTCTCATCTTTCTTCATTGTAGAACCATCGAAAAAGGAAGAAGGTGAGCTGTGATTGATCATGTTGCACATTGGTCTTCTTCATTTGTTCGGCATGATTCACTTGACGGACGGTGTGGAACAATGAGGATCATGCTGCTGTGTTCTCGTCCAAATTTCATTCGTCTCTTTGCTAAAACGAGAAATTCGCATTTGGCCACTTCAGTGTGTGTGTGTGTGTGTGTGTGTGTGTGTGCCTGCGTCTTCGCGGTAGACGAACGCTTTCCTTATTGGTTTGTTTATCGACACTTATTTGCTTAGGCAGATAAACACCATCAGGTTGGACATCCGAATTGGAAATGACACACGAAGTGTGGGCACTGAAAATTAGTCTCCCTTATATAACCACTAGATAGATGGAAGCTCTCGAACGATTTGATCATGAAAACACAACCAAAACGTACTATATCTTGCCAACTATTCGAACTGAGCTATAAAACTCAGTATTTTGAGCAATTTTGAGCACATTCATCCATTCATTCATTCATTCACTCATTCATTTGTTGGGCATCATATGATAGAAAACATAGGACGTGATTGCTCAACTGACCAGTGAACAGTATATGAGCACTGTTTACACGTGTGTTCATCTCACTCATTTGTTCGCAATTAGAACAAGTGCATATTGACCGACTGCTAACTTGCATCGGAACACGAAGTGAACGATTGTCACACTGATCGGCCTCTTCCACGTGAACGATACGTGAATGAATAAGAACTGAGAATGATCCATGTGATTTTCCAGTCCTAATTCAGAATGGATAAATATGGATTGCTCATTGCTCACAACAGTCCATATAAAACCGATTTGTACTGATTTCAATTGAACATATCTCGAAACAAACTACACAAAATGCCAATGTGCAAAATTCACAAATTTGTCCCAATAGAACAAAGAAACAAAGTAACAAAGGATCAAACAACACAAAGCAAAGCATACTGAATTTATCAATTTGCCCAACTGGTCGCATTTGTGCACAAATGATTTCACACTTGAAATATAATAGTGGACAAGAGAGAACCGATTCCCTATCTTCTCTTATTATACACTCCCACTCTCACTCTCAATCTCACTCTACTCAAATACGACAGCTAATAATAGTATTGTTTTGTGGTTGTTCTCATTTGATTGGATACATCCCTCGATCAATGTACATTGTTCGTTTCTCATCTTTCTTCATTGTAGTACCACCGAAAAAGGAAGAAGGTGAGCTGTGATTGATCATTATGCACGTTGGTCTTCTTCATTTGTTCGGCATGATTCACTTGACGGACGGTGTGGAACAATGAGGATCATGCTGCTGTGTTCTCGTCCAAATTTCATTCGTCTCTTTGCTAAAACGAGAAATTCGCATTTGGCCACTTCAGTGTGTGTGTGTGTTTGTGTGTGTGTGTGTGTGTGCCTGCATCTTCGCGGTAGACGAACGCTTTCCTTATTGGTTTGTTTATCGACACTTATTTGCTTAGGCAGATAAACACCATCCGGTTGGACATTCGAATTGGAAATGACACACGAATTGTGGGCACTGAAAATTAGTCTCCCTTATATAACCACTAGATAGATGGAAGCTCTCGAACGATTTGATCATGAAAACACAACCCAAACGTACTATATCTTGCCAACTATTCGAACTGAGCTATAAAACTCAGTATTTTGAGCAATTTTGAGCACATTCATTCATTCATTCATTCATTCACTCATTCATTTGTTGGGCATCATATGATAGAAAACATAGGACGTGATTGCTCAACTGACCAGTGAACAGTATATGAGCACTGTTTACACGTGTGTTCATCTCACTCATTTGTTCGCAATTAGAACAAGTGCATATTGACCGACTGCTAACTTGCATCGGAACACGAAGTGAACGATTGTCACACTGATCGGCCTCTTCCACGTGAACGATACGTGAATGAATAAGAACTGAGAATGATCCATGTGATTTTCCAGTCCTAATTCAGAATGGATAAATATGGATTGCTCATTGCTCACAACAGTCCATATAAAACCGATTTGTACTGATTTCAATTGAACATATCTCGAAACAAACTACACAAAATGCCAATGTGCAAAATTCACAAATTTGTCCCAATAGAACAAAGAAACAAAGTAACAAAGGATCAAACAACACAAAGCAAAGCATACTGAATTTATCAATTTGCCCAACTGGTCGCATTTGTGCACAAATGATTTCACACTTGAAATATAATAGTGGACAAGAGAGAACCGATTCCCTATCTTCTCTTTTTATACACTCCCACTCCCACCCTCACTCTCAATCTCACTCTACTCAAATACGACAGCTAATAATAGTATTGTTTTGTGGTTGTTCTCAGTTGATTGGATACATCCCTCGATCACTGTACATTGTTCGTTTCTCATCTTTCTTCATTGTAGTACCACCGAAAAAGGAAGAAGATGAGCTGTGATTGATCATGCTGCATGTTGGTCTTCTTCATTTGTTCGGCATGATTCACTTGACGGACGGTGTGGAACAATGAGGATCATGCTGCTGTGTTCTCGTCCAAATTTCATTCGTCTCTTTGCTAAAACGAGAAATTCGCATTTGGCCACTTCAGTGTGTGTGTGTGTGTGTGTGTGCCTGCGTCTTCGCGGTAGACGAACGCTTTCCTTATTGGTTTGTTTATCGACACTTATTTGCTTAGGCAGATAAACACCATCCGGTTGGACATTCGAATTGGAAATGACACACGAATTGTGGGCACTGAAAATTAGTCTCCCTTATATAACCACTAGATAGATGGAAGCTCTCGAACGATTTGATCATGAAAACACAACCCAAACGTACTATATCTTGCCAACTATTCGAACTGAGCTATAAAACTCAGTATTTTGAGCAATTTTGAGCACATTCATCCATTCATTCATTCATTCACTCATTCATTTTTTGGGCATCATATGATAGAAAACATAGGACGTGATTGCTCAGCTGACCAGTGAACAGTATATGAGCACTGTTTACACGTGTGTTCATCTCACTCATTTGTTCGCAATTAGAACAAGTGCATATTGACCGACTGCTAACTTGCATCGGAACACGAAGTGAACGATTGTCACACTGATCGGCCTCTTCCACGTGAACGATACGTGAATGAATAAGAACTGAGAATGATCCATGTGATTTTCCAGTCCTAATTCAGAATGGATAAATATGGATTGCTCATTGCTCACAACAGTCCATATAAAACCGATTTGTACTGATTTCAATTGAACATATCTCGAAACAAACTACACAAAATGCCAATGTGCAAAATTCACAAATTTGTCCCAATAGAACAAAGAAACAAAGTAACAAAGGATCAAACAACACAAAGCAAAGCATACTGAATTTATCAATTTGCCCAACTGGTCGCATTTGTGCACAAATGATTTCACACTTGAAATATAATAGTGGACAAGAGAGAACCGATTCCCTATCTTCTCTTTTTATACACTCCCACTCCCACCCTCACTCTCAATCTCACTCTACTCAAATACGACAGCTAATAATAGTATTGTTTTGTGGTTGTTTTCATTTGATTGGATACATCCCTCGATCAATGTACATTGTTCGTTTCTCATCTTTCTTCATTGTAGTACCACCGAAAAAAGAAGAAGATGAGCTGTGATTGATCATGTTGCACATTGGTCTTCTCCATTTGTTCGGCATGATTCACTTGACGGACGGTGTGGAACAATGAGGATCATGCTGCTGTGTTCTCGTCCAAATTTCATTCGTCTCTTTGCTAAAACGAGAAATTCGCATTTGGCCACTTCAGTGTGTGTGTGTGTGTGTGTGTGTGTGTGTGTGCCTGCGTCTTCGCGGTAGACGAACGCTTTCCTTATTGGTTTGTTTATCGACACTTATTTGCTTAGGCAGATAAACACCATCCGGTTGGACATTCGAATTGGAAATGACACACGAATTGTGGGCACTGAAAATTAGTCTCCCTTATATAACCACTAGATAGATGGAAGCTCTCGAACGATTTGATCATGAAAACACAACCCAAACGTACTATATCTTGCCAACTATTCGAACTGAGCTATAAAACTCAGTATTTTGAGCAATTTTGAGCACATTCATCCATTCATTCATTCATTCACTCATTCATTTGTTGGGCATCATATGATAGAAAACATAGGACGTGATTGCTCAGCTGACCAGTGAACAGTATATGAGCACTGTTTACACGTGTGTTCATCTCACTCATTTGTTCGCAATTAGAACAAGTGCATATTGACCGACTGCTAACTTGCATCGGAACACGAAGTGAACGATTGTCACACTGATCGGCCTCTTCCACGTGAACGATACGTGAATGAATAAGAACTGAGAATGATCCATGTGATTTTCCAGTCCTAATTCAGAATGGATAAATATGGATTGCTCATTGCTCACAACAGTCCATATAAAACCTATTTGTACTGATTTCAATTGAACATATCTCGAAACAAACTACACAAAATGCCAATGTGCAAAATTCACAAATTTGTCCCAATAGAACAAAGAAACAAAGTAACAAAGGATCAAACAACACAAAGCAAAGCATACTGAATTTATCAATTTGCCCAACTGGTCGCATTTGTGCACAAATGATTTCACACTTGAAATATAATAGTGGACAAGAGAGAACCGATTCCCTATCTTCTCTTTTTATACACTCCCACTCCCACCCTCACTCTCAATCTCACTCTACTCAAATACGACAGCTAATAATAGTATTGTTTTGTGGTTGTTCTCATTTGATTGGATACATCCCTCGATCAATGTACATTGTTCGTTTCTCATCTTTCTTCATTGTAGTACCACCGAAAAAGGAAGAAGATGAGCTGTGATTGATCATGTTGCACATTGGTCTTCTCCATTTGTTCGGCATGATTCACTTGACGGATGGTGTGGAACAATGAGGATCATGCTGCTGTGTTCTCGTCCAAATTTCATTCGTCTCTTTGCTAAAACGAGAAATTCGCATTTGGCCACTTCAGTGTGTGTGTGTGTGTGTGTGTGTGTGTGCCTGCGTCTTCGCGGTAGACGAACGCTTTCCTTATTGGTTTGTTTATCGACACTTATTTGCTTAGGCAGATAAACACCATCCGGTTGGACATTCGAATTGGAAATGACACACGAATTGTGGGCACTGAAAATTAGTCTCCCTTATATAACCACTAGATAGATGGAAGCTCTCGAACGATTTGATCATGAAAACACAACCCAAACGTACTATATCTTGCCAACTATTCGAACTGAGCTATAAAACTCAGTATTTTGAGCAATTTTGAGCACATTCATCCATTCATTCATTCATTCACTCATTCATTTTTTGGGCATCATATGATAGAAAACATAGGACGTGATTGCTCAACTGACCAGTGAACAGTATATGAGCACTGTTTACACGTGTGTTCATCTCACTCATTTGTTCGCAATTAGAACAAGTGCATATTGACCGACTGCTAACTTGCATCGGAACACGAAGTGAACGATTGTCACACTGATCGGCCTCTTCCACGTGAACGATACGTGAATGAATAAGAACTGAGAATGATCCATGTGATTTTCCAGTCCTAATTCAGAATGGATAAATATGGATTGCTCATTGCTCACAACAGTCCATATAAAACCGATTTGTACTGATTTCAATTGAACATATCTCGAAACAACCTACACACAATGCCAATTTGCAAAATTCATATATTTGTCTCATGAGAACAAAGGGAATTATTAACATCTAATCAAACCTTTCTTTGCTTTTTCTTCTTGTTTTAATTTTTGTGTGAATTATTTTTTCCCTTGTGTTGTTTCTTCTTTCCCTATGATTTCCGCTCCATGTGGTCTAGATATCTCCTACAATGAATTTTTTCCTTCCGCATAAATGTTTTTTGCTATTTGTGTTAAATTTGTAATGCATGACTCCTTTTGTTTCGGATTGTTAAAATACGCATTTTTTGCATAAGCATGATTCTTTGCTCAAAATAATGGGAATCTTTTTTCCCTGCCGTCTTGTTCTTGCATAGTTTCATACTCTGGGATATTTTTTCTGTCTACCAATTTTTTGCGCCTAGTATTTCTATGTGAATGTTTTATCTCTGCTTTCCTTATATTACCTCGTAATTGATAGTCGTATCTTCCTGACATTATACCTTCAATTATGTGATGTACTAGCAGAAATCAGCACTACAGGTAAGCTCGACTTTCCGGCTGCACCTGATATCAGTTTATGTTAAAAATGTTTACATTCAGAATGATTTCGAGGATTATATTTATGCCCTGTTCCCGTTCTAATTTTACTGGCCTTTTCCCTAATTCAATCAATTTTAATATTGGATACTGCCTTTAGAATGCTTTTGTACTGTTGAATGAAATATCCATTTTGATTACAATTATTGCACGGAAGTGTACCTAATCGGTAACCGGCTTCCACTTTACTCCTTCTCCAGGAGGCTCCTCGGGACTAACCAATCAATTTGCTCTTCTCACATTCTCGATGACCATCCTTGGACTGATCCAGTAGTGGGCACATTCTTTCCCCGCAGATATTATGCAGAGGTGTAACAATATCTTTGGTTGAATATTTCATAACTAATAAACAAAGGATTAAGTTTTGCACAACCAGATTTTCTGTAATTGTTTGTATCCGTTATCGCATACCCCAGGATAGAATGAAATTCCATTGCTTTCGAGAAAGCTCTTCCAACTCAGCACAGATCTGTACGGGCCTTATTAAAACATCCATATCTGAAATTCAATACACTTTCCACCAAGTGTGCCCGTCTACTTTGTAAAATCAATGGAATAATGCGGATTGAAGAGGTGCGTTGTGGATCTGAGTTCTCGCAAAATGAATGGTGATACGTTTCAAATATCCCTTACAAGGCCATAAAATAGCACGAAGTTGTTAAAAGCTAGCATGCTTACAATGATTACGTCTTAATGCCTTAGTGACGCATCATCTCATTTGAAACTGGACCTCAATACCTCGAACAAAATGCAATACCCAGGTTACTTATTAAGAATAATTTGTGGAACTAACAATTAGTCTTTCTCAGTGTGTTGACAATTTTTCAACCGTAACACGATTTTGCGGGAAGATATCATTCACTCTATTTGAAACACACCAAGTGAACTGCAGTTCAAAGAATACCTGTATATACACACCGTATCTTGGTTTGAGGAACCAAAGCTTCATAACATATTACTCGTATCAGTCGCATTACTGGTATTTACTGAGAGTTCCGCTTATTTGTGCAAAAGCGAAGGTAAATTGAAGTTTCGAATATTTTGGAAGGGGAATTGGGACCCGTAACTGAGTGCATTGGCATCTGATATTTCGTTGTTCTAGCTAGGTATCTTTCTATCATTAAAGCATACTTCTACTCTATGATTTGTTTAAATAGTAGTCAATTCACCAGAAATGTTTACAACAAATGATTCACCATGTAGTGTGCATGCTCAGCTCATCACTGTCAAGCACTGAAGCACCACATATATATGTTTGTTCTATGTCATAAATTATCAGTATTTCATATCCAACGAACTGGAACCAGTTGTGCTTGATTTCGAGTCCCACCCGACATTCATCTGGGCCATTCGGCGCAGGTTCACAACGGTTTGCTTCTCTTCCCCACTGCACGTTGTAGATTTTAGTCGTCATCGACTTTGGACACACTGAACTCAGCCTTCACATCGTAATACACTCATACGAAGAAAACATTTATGATGTAACTTTGGGTGTAGTGAAGCCAGTAGAGATAACTCACCGAATATGATTACTTGTTCAGTTTCCATTCAGGATCACACTTGATCTTTGGACGATATTCGAATAGTGACAACGCAGTATTCTCAGTGGTATACCTTGCTCAGTTAGACGATAACGCGCCATTTCCACTTTTGAAAGGATCACTCAATTTTTCGCAGATTTACATTCGAATTGACAATTTTTGTTCTAACAGCAGTATCACAGGTTCATACGAATGTTGGCTGTTCATAAGTGTTTAATAACCGAAATCACATCAACTTTTGGACACATTTAATCAACTCATTAAAATGTGTGAATCGACGAACTCTCATACTTTCGAAGTTGAGCTTAGTGTGCGCATTGTAGACGTGCACAACACTATGGCAGGCGCGCTTTAAATTGTTGAACAGAACATTTCAGGTTTGTATTTGTCGGATTTCTAATACAAAACTGTCTTAGATGAAAAACAAACACTTTATTGTACAACGACAGCTCGAATTCCGTGAAGTATAGGTCGTCAGAATATTGAAGCATACTCGTAGGGCTCCGGAAAGATAAACTTTCTCATGAAAACAACATTGAAGTCTACTAGTAGAATTGAATATTTAGCATAGGCGATTACTGCTATAGCTATCATACACTGTGTCAAGGTAGTCCATTTCCTTCTGTATTGATACATAGATGAACAGTGTCCATTCTTAGAAAAAGGTATACCAGATGTACTATTTCAGCTTCTTCGCTGTTTTTCCCAGCCCTTTGGATGACGCTCCAGCATTTTCAATTCTCTGAAGCACACTGTTCCAAATGGGCACAGCGAAAGCGCACTGATTGTTTGACCACATGTCATTATTGATAATGCATTTCACAGTAATAATACAGTTCTTTCGAAAATTGCCCCGTAAACGTTTCTGTAAAATATGATGCGTGGGAAACACTCCCGAAAATAAACGGTTCAACTATCCGTATTCCCAGTATACCAGATGACTCAGTTAGGTTTTGATAATATGGTCTGCTGGAAGCAGTGTGTTGTCCGAGATAATCGACATCTTAATAGTGGCATCGTCTACTCGATTCATGCAAATAAAGGCTGGGTTCACCAATGAATATATATATATATATATATATATATATATATATATATATATATATATATATATATATATATATATATATATATATATACAGTGTGAGAAAGCAGACAATGAGTTCCAAGTGCACCATCCGGATTGGCCTAAACGGTCTCACATTTGTTCTACAATGACACTAAATTATTTCTAAGAGTTGGAAGCATGAATCCATAAAAATATCAAGACGCCCACACTCAACCATTTTGGAAGACCAAGTTGTGAAAATGGAGAGTTTATTGGGTCTGAAGTGAAAAAAACGAGTGGTGAGGATTCACGAGATTCACTCAGAGTGTTCGTGAAAAATGCAAATATTCCTTTTTGTTATGAGGTACTCATAAGCAACACCAAAAGAGTCTTTTCGGCAGATGAGATCAAGGGAAACAGGCAGTTAACTAGTACGGACGGAGAAGAGAAATGAGACTGGGATGCAAACACGGTTGCTGACAGTACACGAGGGATGCGAGGAATTGGCCAAAGAATTGCTTTCACATTGTTATTTAGGATAAAGAAGTGAAGTACAAATATCAGAAACGCGGATGAGGGCAAGTTCAGATACAGCAAAAATACTTGAATGGGTAATTATAACCTAGTGCAAAACAGTTTCGCAGTGTTTTGGATAGGAGATAATTTTTAGAAAATCAAGGACCAAATAAAATGGTTAAGTCCATTTCATTAGGATCGCCTGTTGTTATCCACAGAGTCTGATCATAACACATAATGAGATATTTGGGAAGGCCATAAATAAACTGTCTTATAAGATCAGTGGGAGTAACAGGTGCAACGTATGTTTTCTAGAAAAGCATGTGGAAAATTTGAATTATGAACACCAATGATTGCAACCATTGTCTAATCTACAGAAACTGAATCTTAGACTCTCGATTTCATCTGAGACAGTTCATGAGCAATTGTGGGTATTATTTCAAACCCAAACTATCAGAATGCAATATTGTAGTAGGGAAGACTGTGACAACAGAATAAGAAGAATATCAAATCGATCGGGCTAATCATTCGACAACAGCGGACGAGAGAATGTATGGTGAATATATCGAAAACGTCCCACAAGAGACCTAACGAGGCATGCAGAGTTGTCATTCGCACTCAATGGGACCTGAAATCATCGGAAAAGATGGTCCCGGTGAGTGGCCACCTATTAGGCCACTGACCAGATCAATTGGGACAACCGTATCGCGATCTGGAAAAAAGACTAAATGAACGATTGCACATGTTTAACACACTGAATCATTCTGGCTGCTCAAATACAAGTGGTTCTCATCCGTCTTGCCACATTATTTTAATGTTAAGTATTCGATAACAACGTTGTCGGAAATCCCCGTAATCTGCCAAAGATTCCGTTCAGGTGAATGACCTTTCTTAAAGCAGGTTTACAATCAAATACACAGATGGGACCCGCAATCTGATCGCCAATATTTACCAGGTACTGACTACATTTACATTTTAGAAGTAAACATGTGTAGATAGGCAGTTATTAGGTTCACGCATGCCAGTTAAACCGACAAGATCAAATTATTCACAATAAGGGAGAAAATATTTGTAAAAATTCACTAACTAACAGGCCTTTTGTCTGGCTGTGCTACATTTCTGTGTTAAACACTACCTCATCGAATTAAAGGAAATCCCTCACCGTGGCCACTCCACACCGCTGTTGTTATCAGAAATATTCGCACGCGAACAGACTATTGGATTTTTCGCTCAACCAGATTTAGCTGATCATTTATGTCAAGGAATTCCCTTTCAACCCAAAAAGATGCATCCGTGCTGGCTGGTAGGCTGCCTTTAGTTGCATCCCTCCAGCGAAAACGTCCGTCCCCTTACTGCCCAGTACCAACATAAGTTCTCTATTCGCAAAAATGTCACATCTAACCCTAGTTCTTCGTCTTCAGATTCGTTTTCATACTTGTGTGGTTTGTTTACAAAATTCATGGCCAAACCCACTTTCGACGAAATCACTTGTGTCAATAATTGGCTTAAAACTGTACCAGGGGACAGGACTTCCATCAGAAAGAAGTCTGAAGGCGGGGTGTTCACATATCTCAACTCTATCTAGTGTGGCAATTCTGAAGTATTTTATTCATACTCGATGAACGGGATTGACTGTTTATATATGAAGTACCATCCCAAATTTTCCGGCCATAGGAGAACCACATAAACAACTTTAGGTAGCTCCGTTTTGCACACAGAACACTGTTTCATCTTCCTATGACTCTTTTTAACCCCTACTCTGTTCTAAACAGAACTGTCACCAACCGTCCTGAATTATTCTCCCTAATGTTGTGTGTACTTGTCTCAACCGGTGACTACTGTCTGTTTCTGTTGAGGACGAAGACAGACTCCTTACCTGTTTTCCACTCTCTTCCGTACTAAACAAAACAGAAAAATTCCGGCTCCAAAGTGCTTCACGTGACAACATTCTTATCTTACAGAAATCCCTTTGTCGTGCATCTTCGTGGTTTTCTTTCGAATAGTATCTATTTGGCAATCTCAAACATTTTGCGGAGACGGTCTATTTTAATTTTTGGCACGTATTGTCTCTTAGAAAACCCTTCTTCCCTATAACAGCCGTGTAATCCATATGAAGACGAAAGGAATGTTCCTACAAAACCCGGGATATTTCTAGAGTGAGATGCATTT